TTTCTGCAAATGCAACTCTCACTGGAGCTGTGAGAAGCATTCCAAGAACAATGGACACGTAAGGATACACGGGCCTGACTATTCTTGTGAATGAATCGCGGAGTTCCAAGCGCATCAAGTGGCTCTGGTCGAAGCGTAGCCAGACTGCGAAGCTCATCGACAAGGTCATTCATCTATTGAGGTTAACCTAAGCAAAAGGTGTCTAAGCTTTGCACGGGTACCATCGATTATTAGGATTGTCACACGCTCATAAATAGTATTGATAGTACATATTTCAGACGCTTCGTAGATACTGCAAACTGGTATAAATACGGACACTGTTTTGTCATATTATAAACTTATTGAGATTTTTTTTCATTATTAAAACTTAATAGGTGCTAAAACGGCCCTTTTCCTAAGTCCAAAGCACCAGGCCACACTCTCATAGTATCAATTGGCGTATTGGCTCTGGGTATTTGTTGCAAAGCCTCATAAACAATTACCTCGTACTTCGAATATATTTACATATTTCTATGCGTCCACATTTTGTTTAATTCAAATGTGGCAACCCTATCAATGACTCGGTAATGAATATACAAGACATTTCACGACATGATCAAGGGAGACGAGCGAGGGAAAGGGATGAAAATGAGATAGACCCTTCTACGCTGACGTCTTTCTCACCTCCTCGAGTGCCTGCAAGCGCGAGAATTTCATGCGGAAAGGGTGGAGGAATTAAAATTAAAATCTAAATCTAAAATATACTTTCCGTGCATTCGGTGGCGGATTTCGCCTAGCTCGGCCTTCTCGCCTGTCCAGAGTAGGAAGATCTAGGAATATTCTGTTTCATTCAGAGCTTGGATCTCATTCGGAATAACTAGCAGCGTTTCAACGTTTTTTCTCTTTTGCTTTCGTTCTTCCTATCTTACTTATTATTTATTTCTTCCTCTTGGGGCTGGGGCCCCTAGATTCTGCGGGGCCCCCTGCGGCCGCAGGGGACGCAGGGGTACTCGCGCCGGCCCTGCTCTCTATGATATAAGGTAGTCTCAGCTCGGCTTGTTGCTTTTCATACTAAGCGATAGGGAGAGGAAGCACCGCCCATTGGGAGCCTTCCTTGTGGAAACGTCATGCAATCCATCATGGCGCGGTTCTATGCCTCATATCCCCGAGCACATGGTTGCTTGAATGTGACCTGCTCAAGGCAGAGCCCTTCAGTCGTCTCGGTGTAATTTGCAGGAAGTTCCTCTAAGTATCCTGGACGACCTCATATCCGAAAACCTGATCAGTTCCTGCCTGTCTAAAGGCAAGAGCAAGGAATTGTCTATCGGCCTAACATCGTTAGGGTTCTTTGTCTCTGTTCTCAAAGAACTTAGAGATAACATGCCATGAAGGCCTACTTTATGAGAACTTGAGAGTTAAGTGGCATGAAGGTTTTCTTCCAAGATGCAAGTCCTTCAAAGGAAATAGAATCCAGAAACTCTCTTCGAAAATAGGCATTTATTTGGTTGCAATTATGAGGCCTAACTTCCTGTCAAGGAAATGACATTAGATCTTTAAATTTTGGATTTCTGCGTTCTTGGAGTGAAGTTCTTTGAGAACGGAGACAAAGAACCCTAACGATGTTAGGCCGATAGTCAATTCCTTGCTCTTGCCTTTAGACAGGCAGGGACTGATCAGGTTTTCGGATATGAGGTCGTCCAGGATACTTAGAAGAACTTCCTGCAAATTACAGAGAGACGACTGAAAGGCTCTGCCTTGAGCAGGTCACATTCAAGCAACCATGTGCTCGGGAATATGAAGCAGAGAACCGCGCCATGATGGATTGTGTGACGTCTCCATAAGGAAGGCTCTCATTTGGACGATGCATTCCTCCCCCTATCGCTTAGTCTTTCATTGGCTGCCATCCATGACGTCACCGTGGAAGGATCAGAGAGCCATGTGCGTGAACTCGCCTTCATGTGAAGTCCAGCAGCTTAACCACTTTCTCACCCTCCTATAAATTTCTGCTGCATTAATTCAGAATTTATTGCTGTTATTTCGTCGGAGACACAGAAGAAAATGAGTAGGTCCACTTTTTCCCAGTGGTTTGGCCGCGTAAGTCGGCCATCTGTAATACACGAGCCACGTATGTACGCCTATGCTGTGACAATTAACTTGAAACTGATGGGTTTCGGGCCGGTATAAATTGGTTGTTTGATGTACACTGAGCATTTAATGCTTAGTAAAATGCAAAATCCGTAGGATTGAATATTGTGAGAGGGGGCTTCAGTAAACTCTATATTAAGAGTGAGAGTGCTTGCTTCTTGCCATCTATTCCTGTCAGCCTCGTTTAGGAACGGAAAAATCCATCACGTTGGTCAACAAATCATTCTTTTTCTATTCCTGGGAGATTCCACTTCTCTAAACTTTTCTTTCCAGTCATAATAAAACTCTTTGGATCAAGTACAAAAGGGTTGATATTTGAATCAAAACATTTCTTCATGAAGAAAACCCACATCTAGGATTATCCCAAGCCTTGTCTTAGGCCTGAGCATTAGGCCAATACCAGCTCAGTGTATCGAATATCAAAAACATGCTTAGTAACATGGGCCACTAACCAATGAAAGTCCTTATGAAGGCAATGAAACAGCATTAGGCCTAGGTCTACGTATATGCCACTGATAATTCATCCTACATAGCAAATGCGCAAGAATCACTCAACTGGACCTGCCAGTAAAATCACCTAGTCATACTTATCACTCCCACTCGACTTCCGCGATGACGTAGTGCGCAGAGCCGCGAACCACTGTCCACCACTGCGCTTCGAGCAGAGACTACCTTATAATCTGTCTACCTTGCTGCTATCTAACTCGCTCGTGCGACTCCAGTCCTAAGATGGCGCGGAGGGTGCCTAAAGAGACTATCCGCCCGCTCGGTAGGGGAAGCCTCCCCTCGTCCTCTATGGACGAAACACCTGGATCTCTCACCCGATTCTCACAGTTTCATCGGGAGGGGGTTACTTTAAACTCAGGCAATCATAGTGACACGAATAAAAAAAATGGGGTCCTTGTAAGAATGGCTTCTCGAAGTGTCGAGGTCTACGTTTCATTGCAGAATGCATACATGCATTGTGGTTTTCTACAGTTTCAAATATTTAATGAATCCATCAAAAATGATTCAACCTCGTATACTTTCCAATCTTCCCAAGGCGAGATGCTACACGCCTCTTACGTATTCGTTTCGGCTTTCTAGCTGGCTTCATTTTGCATAGTGGCAAATCACGGAAGTTTGTCCTGAACAAAGCCACCACGGCACACGAAAAACGGAAAAAAATGCTGAGAAACCAACTTGCAGTAATCGGAACTGAGTGCTTGAAATCACCAAAAGGCACACCGTCAACGTGTGAGAAAGCATTTTTCTTCTTCGTGTGGAACTCCTAGGTTTTTTGCTTTAAGGCGGCCTGGGGTGCTCTCGATTCTATTTTTAATACTTGTTCAGGTGAATGATGATGATAATGATTTCAGCAATGACGTATTTTGTGACTGATGAGGCCTATACGTGATAGGCAATCACGCCTAAACGTCTCGGGGAAAGCGCCTAACGCTCGTCCTGCTGCCGATGCGCGCTGCTCCGACGTTGATGTCTACGTGTCTACGCCCGTCTCGCTGCCTGGATGAGCTGCGCCTCGAATCTTCATGCCATCGTAGATAGTGGACCGCCACACGCATACATCCGTTGTGGTTTCCTCCCATTTGATTATACCAATATCGCACAACTCGAGGTGACGTTTCAGAGTATCTTTGAATCTCTTTTGCTGGCCACCGTGTGCACGTTTCCCTTCTTTCAATCGCGCAAAGAGGGTGCACTTCGATAGGCGGTCGTCATTCGTTCCGATGATACGTCCGACCTACCGAATATGAGATCGAATTAATCATGCCGGTGGATCCAGCTCTGGAAAGGACGTCATCGTCGGCCGATTCCTCCTACCTCGACGGCTACGAGGGCACGAAGCTTGCGCCGGTGGAACCTCTCTGGTTCTTCAAGATGATGTCGGTACGTGGTCCATGCCTCGTGCCTCGACCTCGATATACACTGCATCTTCTGCTATGGGTTGGCCTGTACGTTCAAAACCGTGAAAACTTCTCGGTACTTTCAGTATTCGCCTGCTGTTAGAAAAGATCATCTTTGTATAATGCGGCACTTCGAAGCACGGTCTCTCGATACCTCATTTGTCCGAATTCAACCAATAACCTCTGTTCCGTATTCGCTGGTGCGTCTTAAGTCAGGAATACCTTTTAGTGCTTTTGGTGAAATGTCTGCACTTGAGACCCCAGTTAAACCTCGGGAGGGGTCCATCCTCATTTGTTGAAATCGATCGAGTGGTTTCTTGTTCTCAAGTTCCATCATTTCTTTTAGCCGCTGAAGGAACAAGATCTCCAGCAACGTACTTTCACATCCCCCCAAATACCAGGCCGCAAAGTGAGAAACTCGGTGAATTCGCAGACCTCAGAAAAAGGAAGAAGTGTACCGACCTTGAAGTTGGTATATTAAAGCAAAAGTTAAGAATTAGAGTGGGGAGTTGTAACAGAAAGGGTAACTTTCTGCCTTGTTTCTTGGCTTTTTTTTGTTCCATCTAGAACAGTGATGAGCAACCCGCGGTACGCGGACCGCATGTGGCCCGCGAGGTCCTGGTGTGCAGCTCGCGGGGCTTAGCCAACTGAAATTTTTTTTCCCTCTTTCCTGCCACCCGGAGTAGAGCGCACGTGCGCTCAAGGATTCCGTTGCCCACTGCAGAAGATACGGAAGCAAGAAATATAACATAAATGCTATATTTCCGCTGCAAATATCCCCTCCCTCTCTTCTTGGTCGGTGTATCACTGCTCTCGGAGCAAGCGGCTTGCTTGGTATTTTGCCCAGTAAAAATATGAGAAAATTTTCTAAATTAGTTCTTTGCATATCATTAGCATCAACTATTTTACTACCTGGTTTACAAAGCCGGGCTTAGGATTATTTTGGTACTCAGCAGGCATAAAGCCTGTAATTCAGTAATAATAATAAATACGTGCAGCCTGCCGGGAACCAAAAAGGTTCACTTGCGGCCCGCAGTCAAAAAAAGGTTGCTGATCACTGATCTAAAAGAAAAAAATTCATTGTGCTTTGACAAGAGCAAGGTTCGACCTTTGACAAGAGCATTCGACCCATCTCAAGTTCTGCTGATCGGATTTCCAATTCCGAAAATCCGTTCGGATCAAAAATACGATTTAAATAGAGAGCGAGACTAAAGCATGGAGACAGACCTGAAATCCATCGTAGGTCCAGGAGCCGAATTTCATTCTGCACTTCTGGTCGTCGAAAGGGAACCAGGTGATGTCGATCTTGCAGGTGCTCTTGAAGATCCCAGGAGGGACGTAAAGGCAAGACCCGTTGCTTTTTACCACCACGTTCGTCGGGTAAGTTCCATCGAAGCCCTCGTCCGCACTGCACACGCACATCGAGACGCGAACCGTTCTCATTGGACTCTACGGAGGGAGTTCGCGGCCCGGGAGAGGTTCTCACCTGTTGTACATGAGGACGTCTGGTTTCCAGAGGCGGTGAGGAGGGATGCGAAGGTCGCTCACTCCGCCGAATTCCGATACGTTCCATCGGAGGTTATAGTCGTACCATTCCTGGCGGGGGGACACAGTGAAACCATCTCAATACCTCTCGTCGCAAATTGCATTCATCGCATTCGATGCAAAGTCACTTTCATTTTCGGTCCGTCTCGCCCTTTTTCTACATTTCCTATCGTTGCTACGTTACGATCGAGAGAACTCGCGATATTCTCAAAAATTTCTATCATCGTCTCACGAAGGATGTAAACCTCTAGTCTTTACTCAAACGTGAAAATACCCATCCTTCGCTTGAAATCCATTCGCAAAAGTCTTGTCGGTTGAAAGTGCTCTTTCCTTTTTGAATAATTTATCCTATAGTTACACTCACTAAGTTGCAAAAATGTTTCTGAAGTGCAAATCACATATGAATTACGAGTTTCAACGAATCAAATATAAAAAAGAGCTGCATTGGCAAACTTATGGAGAAAATTACATTTGCAAAGTTGATACCATTTAATTTTCTTTGGAAAGAGGTGAATTTCTTTAAGAATGTTTAATTTGCACAAGCTTTGGAAACAAGAGAGTTCTGAAATGCTTATCGTACACATGATGCTCTCATATGAAGACTCGGAAGCATGCAAGCCCTGAAATTCCCCTAAAAGCATTCCATTTTCGGTCTGATGCTAAATATAATCAGACGTGACAGATCGATGGGAGAAAGACTTTGAAGGGATTTCCAAGGAATGAATGATCATGCGAATTGAGAACAACATCAGAGAACCGTGCATCGAATATCAATCGACGTCATCGTGCCATCGTTCATGCGATACGGCATGTAAATAGCATGCATGCATGAGGGAGGGAGAGGGAAGGGAGGAAATGAAAACATTTGCTTTTCCAAGGCTTTCCTGGACACTTCATACAGAGGCATCTTCGTATTATATGGTATCGTATTATAAGTGGAGGAAAGGACGAAGGAGGAAAACGATGGAACTCTGGGATGTCTCACGGGTTTCTTAAGGCTATTCCTCGCCGACTCTCCGACGATCGGTACCTGCAGCACTTTTCTCTACTCTTCTCTTCGTCGTCTCCTTCTACCGAGATCGCGGCAGACGACCGAATCGGAGAGCGAGCTGTGTCTTATTAGAAGGGAAATATGCTCACACCGGTCACGAGTCTCGTCCCTCCAGACTGCATGTAAGTGCACACGCGATCGGAGTTCGGTGGGGGATCGCGTGAATCTGGGATCGTGGGACGCGGAGCGCTAAACGGGCGAGCGATGGCGATGGAAACGCAGAGAATCGAAGAAACCGAAACAACGCCTTCGGTGTTCGTCTCTTCACGAGTTTCAATCGTCTAACAAATCGGGTCCCGAATCGAATCGAGTAGAAACCGAACCGAGGCGATGCCTAGCCGTATCTTTCGACGAAGCCGTATCGAAAATGCTCGGAATGGAAAGTGTGCCTGCCTCGGGGAAGAGGATGATAAATGGCGTCGAGTGAAGCAGCCAGGCGGAGCAACAAATTCAGTCGCGCGGATCGGCGGATCTCCCAGGGGCTAAAACGTCCACATGTAGTAATTGAGGTGTGAGACCCCAGGGACAGCGCGGATCGGCGGATATTCCAACGACTCCGATATCTCGATAAGGCATCGGCCTTATTCAGGATCTCGCTTCCAGGGTTGCTAAATCTTCCGATACTTTCTCCTAGTAAACCGTCCGTGGCCGGTGTCGTACTTTCCTCTTCCATTTGCTCTTCGATGTTTGTTTTTCTCCTCTTTTTTTTTCATCTGGTCATCGAAACGATCGGTGACCTCACAGTCCCCTCGATCCCTGTAATCCTTCAAAAGATTGAACGTTTCGGAATGAAAACAACGTATTTACTGCTATAAATAGACTTGAACTATTTTGATGGACGATTCACCGTTTATTACCTCTCGGCTTGTCGACGGGTTTCGATCTCCGAAGGCTAAGAGAATGCCGCGATCGTATCGATTACGACCTTTCTTTCCGGAACCGCACGCGATACCGATACGCGATGACCGATTCCGTCGATGAAGAGCCGAAATACGGATTGAAGCCGAGCCATGGCCGGCCTTATGCATGTGCCACATGTGCACGGGGTGAAAATTCACCAGGGTTGCCAAAACCTGTCAGAACGGATGAAGCCATGATGGATGCCACCCTCGGTTTTACTTCAGAAAGTGAAATTGCTTTCCGATTCGGCGTCTTTTTGGACGCTAGGGATTCACCCTTCTCCTTCCTGAGGGGGGGAGGGGAGGGGGGGGGGGGGGGGGGGGGGGGCCCTTTGCCCAGGGCGCGGAGGGGGGGGGGGGGGGGGGGGGGGGGGGGGGGGGCGGGGGGAGTCCCTTTGCACAGGGCGCTGAAGTAGCTAGGGCCGGCCCGGGGCCGAGCTGACGCCAGTTCATCGCTGAACGTGATCCTCGGCGATGGAACGTCGCCGACGAGACGAATCTCGCGATCGTGCGAACGAGTGGTCGGCCCGGAACGAAATCGGGCAAGACCGGTCCGTCTTCGTGCGACAGCGTTGCAGTCCGCGAGTCCCCGTCGACTCGAACGGACGGTATCTTAAGATCGTGGCGCTTCGACGATGTTCACGATCGTCGGACGGACGCGGAAACGGACGCAAGCGGAAGCCGACTCCTCTCAGGAGAAACCGCTTCGGACCGACTGCATCTCGCGAGGGACGAAACACGCATTTTCGTTTCTCGCTGCGTCTTTCCTTTTTTTCCCCGCACGGTAGAAGCAACAGGTGGCCCTTTTTGCTGCCTTGCGATGAGTCATCGACGGTTCGGTCGTGAACCGATCCGGGTTGGTCGAGCCGGATAAGGGCATCGGAAGAGGGCACCGCAACTCCATTCGAGAAGCGATGGATCCGTTTCGAGAGCGACGAGGAAAAACCAAACCGGATTCTGATCTCACGCCTGCAATCCCGAATTCCACGGGCGAGAGAGTCTCGCATCCGTTCGGAGCATTCTAAGGCCGTCACGAGTTCGAATCGAATCGCTCCTCGTTGGGATGCGATGACGTCATCGTGCGATGGCATCACGCGATGACTTCGACGCTTCTTCTGCCTGCCTGAGTCGTCGAAAACGACAGGGCGCATCTGCAACGGTGTTCGCAGACGATCGAACGTCAACGGCCGAGTTTCACGATTTAGTCGAAATACGGCGAAGACAAAGACCGAGACTCTTGCGAGTTGCACCAGACGTCACGGCGACGTAGGAACGATCCGACGATCGCCACGCATCGTGTAGGAAAGAGTAGCGATTCCCCCCTCGGCGTCCGGTTGCTCGCGTCGAAGTGCCGATACCTTTTAATCGCCGACGGTCCCGAGTGGACGCCACGAAACGCGACGGAGACACGGCGACGGTGCCTTTCCTCCGTGGTTTCGAGGGAACCGCGAGCGGCCGAGGAGATCGGGACGTCGTCGGTGTCGCGGTGGCAAGGGTGCTAAGGGGTGGAGCCTCGTTGCATCGCGGCGACCTTTGAAAGATCTCGGGATCCCACGGTTCTTCCGAGCGCATCGTCGATATCGAGGACATCCTCTCCGCCGTCTCGCACGTTCGAGGCAAAAATCGTCACGGGAAATCTCGGCGTTTCCCTCTCGAACTCTGGACGCTCTCGATACCGAAACGGAAGAGTTCGTCGAAATACTCATCGAAAGCCCTTTCTCGTCGGCGAAGGAGCGAAAGATCGAAACGTCGAAGAAAGCGACTCCGCATTTCGTGTTTCCGGTACCGAAACGCATCCGATGCTTTCGCCTCCAAAACGTCTCGTCACGTCCCGTCGAGAAGTGCGATCGTGCAGCGGATCGTCTCTCGTTGCTGCGATCACGATCGGGTTTCAACTTCCCGATTCCCTTCGTGCCGCGGCGACTCGAAGACGACCGCGGCGGCGTCCATCAGGTCGTCCATGACGGCAGGCGTGTGACTTTTGGCCGCTTCTCATCCATGCATGCGTTCCCGAAGTCGGCGACGAAAATGCGATTCCGATCGTTTGAATCGAACTCGTCGGCGGCATCAGTCGACGGTCGCAAAAAAAGTCTCGTCTTCCGTCTTTTTCTCGTCTTCCGATTTCAGCATCACCCGTTAGATACGATCGCGTCGTGCTCCGAGACCGGTTACAGACACCGTCATTCCTTACTCCTTTTCGTCTCACTTCCCCGTCGGCGTGAAGTTCCTGCGATCGTCACGGCTCCCTCCTCTCGGTCGGGCAGACCGCCGATACGCTTCCGTTTGGGTCTCCTCGAAGCTCGCAACACTGCTCACGTGCGGCACGTTTTCGGTTCGACTCCGAGGACGGTAGTCCAGGAATCGTAGCGATCCCTTCTGGATGCCCTCCGGCCGAGACCGCCTCGTCGACCTGCCTGCCATCGAGGCGGGATCGCGACGACGAAAAAACCGGCAGACCTGCGAATCGGTCCGTCTGGACCTGTTGTCGCTACGGTCGTTGCTGCCGATGGGAACTAATGCACGGATCGATCGCTCGATCGATGGCCTCTGGAATCGAGGAGGGTGAACCTCGGCGACCTCGAAGGGGTCACACACGAAGGTCACGCGCGGAAAGGAGGCCGAGCGATGCGCGAACGAAACCGGTTCCGTTTCCAGAAAGACCGCGCGAGACGATTGGGATCTCGAAAATCCACTCGGAGCGTCTCCGCATCGGACCCTTCGTCCGTCCGTCGCAGGCAGGAGCCTCTTCGAGGGATCGACCGTCCGAGAACTTCGCTTCGTTAGCGACTCGACGTTTCGATCTCGGGTTGCCGCCACTTCGACACGCGCGATATACCTTGGAGTCGATCGGAGCGGTACGCATCGACGGGCCGCGAAGCCCTCGGGTGCGGAAGGATTCTCGATCCCGTTCCGAGTCGCGAGAGGAACGAAGTCGCTCGAGAGGGACTCCGTCGGATCTTCGGGATCTCCTGCTGGACGTCGAGGGGATGGAGTCGTTTCCGAGGCCCAGATCGGCTTCCGCCCTCGTCGCAGATTGCCTTCGCATCTCGCTCGGAGACGATCGGAGTGAAGGATGGAAGAAGTCGAGGAGATCCCATTTCACACCTCCTTGACCGTGCGAATGACGACGAGGGGGAAAAGAAGTTTCCCTTCCCGTATCCGAACGAGCACTGCATGTCGGCTT